ATAAATAACTTCATCCTCAATTTCTCGCTCCTTCCTACTCCAACCAGCTTGTCGTAGTAGGCCCTCAGATGTGCATGGGGATCGCTTGTCCCATCAAAGATGTTGCATTTCAGAGTCTTATACTATGCCACTACTGGAATGTCCACATCAGGGTGTATACACAAATCTTAATAATCTAGGATCTTGCTCCCTCGAGCAACTTGAAGATTCTTAATTTGTTTCCTCAAAGCTCGCAAATGTTTGGATACCAACTCTTCCTCTTTGTACTTTTCCCCTTCTCCATTTCAGCATATTGATCGACTTCATATAGCACTCCGGTCGTGACGGGCACTATGAAGGTGGGTTCTGAAGTGGCATATACGGGTGGAGCATACCGATCATGTGTAGCAGTGTATGCCGCATGTATGTGCCGCATGTATGTTCTGGGTTTGATTATTGGCAAAGGTGACATTGTCACGGGAGGGGTATGTACTAAGTTAGTAGTGACTGGTGGGTTTTGCGGTGTCTGGACATAGTTTGGTACATAAAGGGTATGTATAGGAGGATCTGGTGGGTTTGCGGGGGTTACCGATGGTACAACCTGGTTTGTGGGGTTTATGGTGACTGTGGTTGGGGTACTGTTTGCTTGTTGGGTGGTTGGAGGGAAGTGATCGGGGATTGAATCTAGTGAAGGAAAGCGGCGTGGTTGTGGAAGCATCATCACGGCCAGATGCACCAGTTCCCGAATATGTTGTACCTCATGTATTAGCGATTACATTTCTTGTGCCATCTTAGCAAAATTCTCGTCGTTTCGAGTATCACTCGTTTTCCCGATTGCCCCGGGTTGTCAGCTATTACCAAAGCATTTCCAGTCGGGTCATAAATTTGCAGATATCTTTCCTTTTGATCTCAGGTTGTATGGTGGTTCATTCAGTTTTTTGAGACAACACAAACCAACCTTTGTTTTGGGGGGAATGAATAATAAAGTAATGCAAAAAAAATAAAAGAAAAGAAGAGAAGAAGTTAGTTTCATGTTTTGCACAAATATGAACATAGAGAGTAGTTAGTTCACCTATTCAAATAAGCGCGTTTCCTAATATGCATGGGACCTCTCTTTGTCGGAGGTAGGCCTATATCGCAAATTTTTTACGAACAATCATATTTTGACACGTTTGATTTTTTCATTATTAATATTTGGATTATAACAGGCGGGAGCAATGATTATAACACTTGTTTTCAACATCCACACGATTACATGGGCTCACATACTTGCCCTTAGGGAAATAAAATGGCACGGGATAAAGGGTGCAGGATGGGAAAAGGGGAGAAATCAACCGACCACTAGTATCCATCCCTGAAATCATTCCCCATGTCCTCTTCCGGTTCTTCTTCTTCTTCGTTGTTATATTTGGGCTCTTCTTCAGGATCTTCTTCTAGTTCTAGTTCTGTTTTAGATTCGATTTATATATACTCGACCACTGATATTCGGCTTAAAGTATGTATATTTTTATGCATATTGCCTCAAATTTTACTCATGTCTCGTAGATTTTGGATGTGTAATATAATTATTTGTGATAATTTATGGTATTTCCATGTGTAGGAATCATCCAGAGATAATTTGGGATGAAGGTGCGCAAATTGAAGAAAAAATGGGAAGAAAAGGGAAAAATGCACAGTGTAGCGCCACAGGAAGCATGGGGCACTACCTGTGGCGCACAAAACAGAGCTCCCAAAAAGCCAGCGCCAGGGATAGCGCCCCACGCTACCCTGGGTGCTAGTGACATGAATTTATCCTAGTTTGCCCGGGACTCGATTATTTTGACCCCCAAGATGCCCCCAACTCATATAAAAGTAAACCTAAACCTATTTTTGTAAGGGGGACGCTACTTTGAGAGATGAACACATGTACGAAACGCTCAGGAGCACAAAATTCATCAATTCTTCTTCTAGTATTCATAGTTTTTATTTTTGAAAACATTTTTTTGATGATTGTTATGAATATGAGTAGATAAGAACCTTATTATTCCGGAGTCATGGGTGCTACATGAATGTTAACGTTTGAAGTTTAAATTGACAAGTTTGATTTTATCATATTGGGTTGTTTATTTACTTATGTTCTTAATTATTTTGTTGCGTAGCTAACAGTGAATTATTACCTACGAATCTAGAGTTGAACTCGAAAGTGGGAATTCTAGCTTGCATATAAAATTAAATAGAGCAAGTTTCTCAACCCGGGCACCAGGAAATGGATTCGCAATTAGGATAGATATATACCTAATTGTCTTGCTTGTTTGAAATACAGAAAGTGTAAATGCGTTCTTGTTAGCCTTAATTCAATAGATATATAGGCACTAAGTTAGCTTGAATAGGCAAGTAAGAACTCGACAGATTCTTACTAGTAACATCAACACTGTCAATCAATGAACCAGATAAATCAGTTACTCAGTTTAAGCCAAGAACGCAACAAGATTGTTAGCTAGCCTATGGCCCAGGAATATCCTCTCCTAATGAATTTACCCGAAATTGCCTATGTGTTTTAGTCGATCTCTAGTTTATTTAACTGCTTAATAGTTTCTTTGGTTGTTAAATAATTACCTACACATTTTGTGAAAAATCTCTTGAATAGATAAGTAGTTTGAGTTTGAATCAGTCAAAAGTTAGTCATAAGTCTCTGTGGGAATGATACTCTACTCACTACTTTATTACTTGATGACCACGCATACTTGCATGTGTGTTTGGTCGCAACAAGTTTTGGCGCCGTTGTCGGGGACTTAGAAATTAGCTAGTTGTCTGAGTTAAGCTTTTATTAGTTATTTATTCAAGCTTTAATTTTTAGTTTGCTTTATTTGTGTTAACGCAGGCTCTTCTCATAGATGCGGAAACAACCTCCTTCCTCTTGATCCTAAAATTGAACGAACACTTCAAAGGGTAAGGAGGGAAGTCAAAGCTAGAACAAGAATAGAAAGAGAGTTGGACATTGTAGTTCAAGCACAACCACTAAGGATGGCAGGTAATGAAGAGCGACCGGTGATAGAAGCCGCAAGGCCCAATCTTGCTAATATGATTCAGGCTATTGTGAAGCCTGATATCATAGGTCATTTTGAACTCAGATAGTACATGGTCCAACTGATTCATCCACATGGCAGTATGTGGGTCTATCTCATAAAGATTTGCATCAGCATATTCAGAACTTTTTGGAAATTACAAATACTTACAATTATCCGAACATTTCCAAGGACTACGTAAGGCTGCCATTGTTCCCCTTTTCACTGCTGGGGGAAGCCAAAGAATGGTTATAAAAGGAGCCCATGAACTAAATCCACACTTGGGATGATCTAGAAAGAAAATTCTTAATAAAGGTTTTTCCAACTAAGAAGACAATGTCGCTAAGGCGCCAGAATCTTGGGTTCCAATAACGGGATGGCGAGACTCTTCGTTAAGCTTGGGAAAGGTACAAGAAGCTACTCAGATACTGCCCATATCACTATTAGAATGATGAGGTGTTGGGTCTCACCTTCATTGATGGGGTGGACGAGACATCAAATATGAATCTTGACTCAGCTTGTGGGGGGTAGTTGCATGGCAAGGACGCATAGTGAAATCCAACACCTGCTAAATAATTTCACTGCTAATGATAATAATTGGCAAGGAGATGGGGAATCACGAAGAGAACTTAAATAGAAGGCAACCAGTGTGATTGAGCTTGATGATTTCTCAGCCATGAGAGCAGATATAGAAACATTAGTAAATCAGATGAATAGAATGAAAATGCACCAAATGCAACATGTGCAACAAATGTCTACTTGCTGCGAATTATGTGGTGACGGTCACACGAGTGACATATGTCCCACGAATCATGAATCTATCTATTATGTGGGGCAACATAGAAGAGGGTCCGATAAATCAACATGCACAATATGGGAAAACTTATAACCCAAATTGGAAGAATAATCCTAATTATCTTGGGGGGGGGGGATCAGACGACTTAGAATCATTATAGGCCCCAAGGAAATTACAATCAACCTCAGAAGCCACCCTAACAAGTAGAGGAGAGTACGAATGATCTATTGAAGAAGTTATTGCTTGACAACCAACAACTGAGGACCGATTTCAGAAATCTTGAGAGAAAAATGGGGCAGTTAGCGTCAAATCAAAATACTTGGCCTGCAGGCGCTCTTCCCAGAGAAGAACCCTCAAGTTAATGCAGTCACACTCAGAAATAGGAGGGAATTAGAAGAAGCGCCAAAGAAAAGAAAATATAAGCTTATACTTGAGGTGGAGTTGATTCCTAAGGCAACCCACATGTCAAATAAAGATGATGCAAGTTCAAAGCCAGTGAGTGCTGCAAGGCCACCACCACCTTTCCCCCAATGGTTATAGAAGAAGAATGATGATCGCATTTTTAACAAATTTCTCTTGATGTTGAACCAGGTTCAATTAAATATTCCATTGGTGGATGTACTTCGTGAAATCCCAAAATATACTAATTACATAAAAGATATAGTGGCTCACAAGAGGAGATTGACTGAATTCAAGACAACCACACTTACTGAGGAGTGCACTTCGAGGGTCCAAAACAAGCTTCCTCATAAGTTTAAGGACCCTGGCAGCTTCACCATCTATGTGCGGATTTGTAATATCGATGTGGGTCGTGCTCTTTATGATTTGGGGGAGAGCATAAATCTGATGCCCTTTTCCTTGTTCAAGCAATTGGGTCTGGGAGCTTCAAGACCAATCACTGTGATGTTGCAACTAGTTGATAGATCCATAGCTTACCTTGAAGGAGTGATTGAAGATGTGTTGATGCATATTGGGAATTTCATCTTCCCAACAGACTTCATTGCCTAAGATTATGAGGCTGATGAACAAGTTCCAATCATATTAGGATGACCTCTCTTGGTTACAGGTGATGCAATTATTCAAGTGAGAGAGGAAAAACTGATTATGAGGGTTGACAACAAGAAAACCGTTTTCAATGTTACAAGGCAATTCAACTTCCCCGCCATTATGAGGAGCTCTCTATGATATTTATTGTGGAGGTGGATGAGCAACTTATAGACACAAGTGTATATCTAGACGATTCTCTAGAGAAAACACTCAGGTTGTTCGATATCTTTGAGATAGATGACGAGGTTGAGGAGATAATGCATATACTAGATGCATCTTGTGTCTACATACAGGGATTAAACACCTTTGAGCCCCTAAATAGGCCAAGTGGGCCTCTACGAAAGCCGTCTATTGAAGAGGCTCCAAAATTGGAACTTAATCCCTTGCCCCCTCACCTTCAATATGCTTATTTGGGTGGTTCTGACACTCTACCTATTATTGTTTCCTCTGACTTGTCTAAATTGCAAGAAGAAAAGCTATTAAGAGTGCTACGTGAGCACAAGCGAGAAGTGTTTAAGTGGCTTGATGCATGTATTGTATTTCCAATCTCTGATAGCAAATGGGTAAGCCCCATCCAATGTGTGCCTAAGAAGGGGGGATGACTGTAGTGGTTAATAAAAATAATGACTTGATTCCCACATGAACAGTGACTGGGTGGAGATTTGTATAGATTATAGAAAATTAAACAATGCCACCCGCTAGGATCACTTCCCCCTCCCCTTTATTGACCAAATCCTAGATAGACTAGTTGGGCATGAATACTATTGTATCCTAGATGGCTATTCGGGGTATAATAAGATTGCTATATCCCCAGAGAACCAAGAGAAGACCACATTCACGTGTCCTATGGCACGTATGCGTTCAAGAGAATGCCATTCGGTCTTTGTAATGCACCCGCGGCTTTTCAAAGGTGTATGATGGCTATTTTTACTGACATGCTTGAAAGATTTGTAGAAGTGTTCGTGGATGACTTTTCTGTGTTTGGGTATTCTTTTGATAATTGTTTGATGAATCTTGATAAAGTGCTTGGTTGGTGTAAAGAGACACACTTGGTGCTAAACTGGAAAAAGTATCATTTCATGGTTCGAGAAGGTATAGTCTTGGGGCACAAGATATCCAAAAATGGTCTACGGGTGGACAAGGCAAAGGTGGAGGCGACTGAAAAATTGCCCCCACCAAAATCCATTAAGGGAATTCGCAGTTTCTTGGGCCATGCAGTTTTTTATCGTTGTTTCAATAATGATTTTTTAAACATTTCTTCTCCTTTGTGCATGCTTCTTGAGAAAGATATCAATTCAAATTTGATGATGCTTGTCTGAAAGCATTTGAGGAGCTCAAGAATTGATTGGTGACTGTGCCAATCACTATTGCCCTGGATTGGGTGCAACCATTTGAGTTGATGTGTGATGCGAGTGACGTCGCAATCAGAGTTGTTTTGTGGAAAAGGAGGGATAAAATTTTTCACTCCATTTATTACGCGAGCAAAACTTTGAATCCAGCCCAGATGAACTACATTGTTACTGAAAAAGAGTTGTTTGCAGCGGTATGGGCATTCAAAAAAGAGTTCAGATCCTATCTAGTGGGAACCAAATTCATTGTCTACATAGATCACCCAGCTATAAGTTATTTGTTTGAAAAGCGATATGCCAAGCTGAGGCTGATTCGATGGGTTCATCTCTTGCAAGAATTTGACTTAGAGATCCGAGATCAAAAAAGAACAAAAAATCAAGTGGCCGATCAGTTGTACAAATTAGAAAATAGGAAACATGCAGCTGAGTGGGGTTCAATCAAGGAAACTTTTCCAGATGAGCAGTTATAGGTCATTACCTTGAGTGCGGCCTCGTGGTATACATATTACGTGAATTTTATTACAAGGGGGGTGATGCCACCAGAGTTGACACCCGATAACAGAAGAAGATTTCTACATGATGTGAGGCTCTACTTGTGGGATGGGCCATTCCTATATAAGCAGTGCGCAAATCAGTTGGTATGAAGGTGTGTTCCTGAGGAGAAGTTGAATGCAATATTGCATGTCTGTCATGCTTCTTCATATGGAGGTCATCACGGTGGGGATAGAACCGCCCAAAAAGTGTTGCAATCGGGTTTGTATTGGCCAAAATTATTTAAGGATGCACATGCCTTTGTTAAAAAGTGTGACAGGTGCCAAAGAACTAGAAAAATGACGAAGAAGCATGAGATGCCTTTGCAAAATATTCTGGCAGTGGAGATTTTTGATGTTTGGGGGATTGATTACATGGGACCGTTCCCATACTCTAATGGTCACAGATACATCTTGTTGGCGGTCGACTATGTGTCTAAGTAGGTGGAGGCCATTGCTCTTCCTATTAATGACGCAAAGTTAGTGGTAAACTTTGTAATAAAGCTTATCTTCACGCGCTTTGGGACTCCAAGGGTGATGATAAGTGACAGAGGAACTCACTTCTGTAAAAAGTTGTTGAATAACATTCTAGCAAAGTATAGAGTTAAGAACAAGGTTTTCACTGCCTATCATCCCCAAATGAGTGGTCAAGTGTAAGGGTCAAATAGAGAGGTGAAGCAAATTATGGAGAAAATGGTCAGTGAAAATAGGAAGGACTAGGTCGGAAAGCTTGACGACGCATTATGGGCGTATAGAACTGCATACAAGACCCCTATTGGAACATCTCCGTATAAGTTGGTTTATGGGAAGGTATGCCACTTGTCCATCAAGCTTGAACACAAAGCCTGTTAGGCAATTAAAATGATAAATATGGATATAGACTTAGCCGGCAATTAGAGGTAGGTATAGCTCAACGAGCTTGATGAGTTTCGATTGAATGCGTACAAAAATGTCAAATTGTATAAAGAAAAGACCAAGAGGCGGCATGATAAGCACATCCAACATTGCGAGTTTGAGCCAAGTCAAGAAGTTCTCTTGTTTAATTCGAGGTTGAAGCTTTCCCCAGAAAGCTTAAGTCTCGATAAGCGGGTCCTTTCGAAGTGGTTAGTGTGAAGCCTCATGGAGTGGTAGAATTGCGTGATACGAGTTCAAGTGGTATATTCTTGGTAAATGGGCAAAAGGTAAAACACTATTAGAATGGTGACATTACACTTCACAAGACCTCTATGGACTTGGTCGATACTTGAAAAACTTGTTGCGTCATGCCACAACGTTAAATCAGGAGCTTGTTGGGAGGCAACCCAATTTTTAATGCTTTCATAGCTTAGCTTTTTGTTTCTTTCTAGTCAAAGTAGACTGGATTTTTTTTTTTTGTAGTTATAGAAATCATAGGTAGGAATGGTGTGGGGTGTGTATAATGGATGTATTAAGAGCTCGGGGAGGGGGAATGTTTAATCAAACTTTTTAAAAAAAAACTCGGCGAACTAGCACCCAGGACAGCGCCCTCGCTGCCTGGGGCGAACTTTATAGAATATAAACAGCCCCTAGCGCTAGGCCAAGAATGGAGCACTGGGCTGGGGGTCAGGTATGTCCTTTTATTTTTTATTTTCTTTTTGTTTTCAATTTTTTAGTTACACTATCTAAACCGTTAATCCGACCCACACCCATTTACACTCACTATCTAACCCATAACCCATACCCATTCCCCTTCTAATCAGAATAACATAAAATCCTAACACTCCCCCCTTATTTTTCTCTCTCCGCGCTCTTGCTTTCCTCTCTTTCTATCTGCCCGTTCTCTCTCTCTCTCTCTCTCTCTCTCTCTCTCTCTCTCTCTCTCTCTCTATCCCTCTCTCTCTATTTCCCTCTCTCAAATTCTCTATTATTCCTTGCTTGTTTTCATCTGAAACTCAAAGGTATGTTCTTCTTTCTTTTCTTGTATTTTGCAATTTCTTAGTGTGTCATGCTATTTCTCCAATGCACACGCCCCCCATCCCCCAAATTCACCCTAAGTTTCTTTTAGACTTTATGTGCTATGGTGGGTGGCCTCTATGTGCAACTTGGTTGATGAATTGTGTTGTGAAGTTGTCTATGAAGTAGTAAACTACTACTCCCTCTACTTCATTTAAAATTGGGAAGTCCACTTTGTTCCACCATTGTTGAAAAAAAGAGAAACAAAATTGATTCCCACCATGTGTTTGCTAAAATACTTGAAAGAGTGAATTTTGCACCAGTGAAGTCTGAGTAGTCGAGTGTTGTTGTATGTGATATTGGGCTAAGTGTGAGGTGTTTGGGTGTTGGTTTACATAATCCGAGGCTCATGTTGCATGTTCTCCTTACCATAATAATACTACCCACACCTTGTATCATGTGTAATGTATCTTTTAGCATCTGGTTAGAAGTAGTTAGTGTACTATACTAGTTGTTGTAATTTGGACTCAAGCATTGCTTGCTTGTACTACAGCTAAGTCATGGCCATGTTCGACTACTTGAATTGTGTTTCATGGGGAAATGTTGAGTACCCATCGCCTTGTGGTGCAACATTTGTGCACTTTGAACCTCTATTGTGAGTTGATTATATACAACCTTCAATTTTAAGTGTGGGGTCATCTTTGACTCTCACGATGACCTTGGGCAAATTTCTTGTTTCCTTCTCACATTCATGTTTATCGTATGTAGGTTGCTAAGGCTCATCACAATGCTACTAAAGAAAAAGGCGTGGGGAAGTCCTACACTACTTCTCCCCCTCCTAAAAGATGCAATCAAGGTGAAGTCTCTTCCAGGCAAGCCGAGAGGAAATAGGTTGCTAGTGGGTCGACGAGGGCAATATCAGGACCACGACCTAGTTTGGATCTAGTTCATGAAGATTCCATCCAATGGCATAATAACTTTGTTCGATATGGGCTATACGTCTCCAAAACGAGGATTAATATGAAAGCTCTAGAAAATAACTTCCCAGATGTGCTTGCCCGGTTGGTAGAGATAAAGATGGATAAGCGCATAGAGTGCTCGGGCTATGCAAATTTGAAAATTGTTGGAGAACTTTATGCCAATTGGAACACAAACTTGGTCAAGTCATCGGTCCAAGGCAAGGAGATACCAGTGGATAGGTGTTCCCTATGTGAATTTTTGGGAGATGATAACCCTAACCCACAGAGGATACACAAGTTTGTGAAATGTCCAAGATACCAGGCAATACGTCACACTCTTTGTGGCATTAATTCTAATTCAAAGTTGACACGGACTAAGGAGGATTCCTACCTTGAGATGATCCACTTTGACTTCAACAAGATTTTCAAGGTGTGGCAAAACGTCGTGCAAGCTAAATTGATGCTGATAGCATCAAGGACAAGGATAGAGTTTTGAAAACTTCAAGGTCATTTACAATATCTCAAGCTAAAGGATTGCATACTAAGTTTGCTGGACTTCAATGGAAAATTGTAGAGGAAGAGCTCAAGCCCAAAGGAGAAGAATTATCCAAGTTTTACAATTATTTGGTGAGCAAATTGAAGTCCATGCGGAGGAATATTAGGTCCCGAAATCAACCCTGGTAGTCCACCAAAAGGGCTCAAAATGAGCTTAAAAGAGGTCCAAAAGGGGGTATTTCAAAATGATCCCAATTGGAGTCCAAAAAAATGGCCCAAACTAGTAGTTTTAAGGTCCAAATCTGCCCCAAAGGGATTTGGCCGCCCACCCTCTTATTTTTAGGGTTTCTTTTTTTCCTTAGCAGCCATCCTACCTAATTGTAAAGACTTTTTACTCCTATAAATAAGGAGTTCTTCTCATTCATTGAGAGACTTCATTATTGATTAAGAATATTATACTTTGAGAGTTTTTTTGAACCTTTGTTACTTATGCTTTGAGATTTATCTTTTAACCATTACTAGTTCATAGTTCAAGGTAGTAAGATAACTTCTTTAATGTGATATCATTGATTTCCTTGTGATATTCTTAGAAGGCGATTAATACTAGTTATTATTATTATTATTATTATCTCAAGTTACTCGTAAAGAGGTCAAGATCCAAATATATTATTTTTATTTGTTTTTAAGTAAAGGCGTTTGATTTCTCCAATAAATCAAATCATAGGTAGGAATGGTGTGGGGTGTGTATAATGTATGTATTAAGAGCTTGGGGAGGGGGAATGTTTAATCAAACTTTTTTTAGAAAAATCGGCGAACTAGAACCCAGGCCAGCGCCCCTCGCTGCCTGGGGCGCACTTTACAGAATATTAACAGTCCCCAGCGTCAGGCCTAGCATGGAGCACTGGGCTGGGGTCAGGTATGTCCTTTTATTTATTTTATTTTATTTTTGTTTTCAATTTTTTAGTTACACTATCTAAACCGTTAACCCTACCCACACCCATTTACACTCACTATCTAACCCATAACCCATACCCATTCCCCTTCTAATCAGGATAACATAAAATCCTAACACCCC